ATGACTTTATTCTCATAATTTAAAAAAATAAAAAAATATCTTGTTGTGTGGCCCTAATACTCCATCGTACAAACCGGCTGAAATATTGATTGAATAATTTTAAATACTAAAAAGAGTTTCAGAAAAGAGCATGAGCTCCTTTTCTCCAGAGAAACCTTGAAGATGTGTTCCTCTGACCTTGTATCACTGCAGACCTAAAAGTATGCTGCTCACTCCAGCGTGCACCGCCTCACACTAATCCTCCCCTCAGAGCAGTGGCTGCATGTTATTTCCATGACAACCTCCCTCTGCTGTAATACAACAAGTCGGCGCCCAAAATAGGTGTTTAGACAAGAACACGCAGACAGAACTTGGACTTAAAGCTGTTAATGATCTCCTCTCTGATTTCCTCTGATCAGAATGGCTGAGAGGATTCCAGTCTGATTACAGCAAACGAATCGTTGATTCTCTTGGTGCACATGAATTTTTCCACATTAATCAAAATCAGSATGAAGTGAAGGAAAAACAAGCTGCTTTACAATAATTTACATATACAATGATGTCCTGATTTAAACTATTCTTGWTTCATGCAGACATAAAACTGGCCGATGACCCAGACAGCCTGATGTTAACCGTCTGCRTGTCTGATTTCACACGCAGCTTCCTGAGTTCAGTCACAGCTGCAGGTCATTAAACTTTCCTTCAACTCCATGTGGCTCTTAATGGATTTGGCAGAGACTTGAAGAACAATCTGACCATCTTTGTTTGGATTGTTGTGGCGMCACATTTAAATAAAAGTCATTAGAGCTTTTAATCAAACCGGTAGCATCCAGTTTTTGCACAATTGAGTCATGAAATCGTTAGTTTTCTTCTGAACAGAGGGTAGTTTCAGTTGTGAGCAGTTCACACTGCCACCGTGTGTCGGACAGAAATGATGGGTTTGTTGGCTTATATCCATGAAACACTACAATTTTTAATAGTATTTATTGGATATAATTTACAAACAAAAAATCGTTTGTGACTCAAGGATCAGGTCAAACATCATCATCGTGATGAAGATGTGGCTGCATGAGTATAATCCACTGGACACTTGTGCTTCCGAACAGGAGCGATGAAGAAGCTGCGCAGAAGAACAACGCCTTGAAGCAGATCCGCGAGCTGCAGGCCCAGGTAGCTGAGCTCCAGGAGGATYTGGAGTCAGAAAAGATAAGTCGCAGCAAAGCTGAAAAACTGAAGCGGGATCTGAGCGAGGAGCTGGAGGCTCTGAAGACGGAGCTGGAGGACACGCTGGACACGACGGCTGCTCAGCAGGAGCTCAGGTACCTGATTAAAGCTGAACTACTGATGAAAAGAGCAGTGATTGGAAGTTGAAGCTGTCTCCTGTCATTTCCTAACAGCTCCTCTCTGTATCTGACTTCAGGTCCAAGCGAGAGCAGGAGGTGGCGGAGCTGAAGAAAGCCTTAGATGAGGAGACCAGAAACCACGACGCTCAGATTCAGGACATGAGGCAGAGACATGCACAAGCACTGGAGGAGCTGTCTGAACAGCTGGAACAGGCCAAGAGGGTGAGTGTGTCCAACCGTGTGGCTTCACGTCAGATTTATCAGCTTACCGGTACCAGACTGTCGCCCTCTGCAGTTCAAGGCCAACCTGGAGAAGAACAAGCAGTGTCTGGAGACTGACAACAAAGAGCTGGTCTGTGAGGTGAAGACTCTGCAGCAGGTGAAGAGCGAGTCTGAATACAAGAGGAAGAAGCTGGAGGCCCAGCTGCAGGAGTTCACATCCAGAACCACCGAGGTGGAACGAGCCAAGGGAGAGCTGACTGAACGCTCCCTGAAGCTGCAGGTAAAACTGCTCCACAGAGAGAAGAAACGCAGCTTAAAGCACGCTTTCATGACAACTTTTTGTCTTCTGTCAGACGGAGCTGGACAACGTTTCTGCTTTGCTGGAGGAGGCGGAAAAGAAGGGCGTCAAACTGGCGAAAGATGTTGACAACTTGAACAGCAAACTGCAGGATTCTGAGGTTTGGAGACAAGAAAGGGCTGAACATTGACCACGTTTATGTCTCCTGTGTGCATTAGATGTCTGAAATATAAAGAAAAAAGTATCCTCCTTTACTATTCTTACACACTGTATGTACAGCAGTCAAAATGCTAACGTATTAAAGCCTGAATTAAACAATACCTCATCTAGCATCAACTATAGCTTCAGTAGTACGACACTAAAATATCTTTCTGGTCTCTGATCCTCATTTCTGTGTGAAGGAGTTGCTCCAGGAGGAGACTCGTCAGAAACTCAACCTGAGTGCCCAGATCCGCCAGCTGGAGGGAGAAAAAAGCAACCTGCTGGAGCAGCAGGAGGAGGACGAGGAGGCCCGGCACGCTCTGGAGAAGCAGCTGCAGACAGTGCAGGCTCAGGTGCCTGATCCAGGATTTAGTTTGTTGTTGAGATTYAAGGTCATGAAAAGATGTAGGCTCCTCTAATTCGTGGACGTGTCCTCCCTGCAGCTGTTTGAGACCAAGAAAAAACTGGATGAAGACGTGGGAGTGATTGAGAGTCTGGAGGAGGCGAAGAGGAAACTTCAGAAGGATATGGAGCTCACCCACCAACGCCTGGAGGAGAAGACCATGGCCTTGGACAAGATGGAGAAGACCAAGAACAGACTACAGCAGGAGCTGGACGACCAGATGGTGGACCTGGACCATCAGAGGCAGATCGTCTCCAACCTGGAAAAGAAACAGAAGAAGTTTGATCAGGTACAGAGATTCAGCAGGGTGAGCAGGTCAGATCACGGTTCTCAGTGTCTTTAAGGTTCTTGTGTTGTTTTTAGATGCTGGCTGAGGAGAAGACCGTCTCTGCTCGCTACGCTGAGGAACGAGACAAAGCAGAGGCTGAAGCCAGGGAGAAGGAGACCAAGGCTCTGTCTTTGGCCAAAGCACTGGAGGATGCCTTGGAGGCCAAAGAGGAGCTGGAGAGGTTCAACAAGCAGCTCCGCTCTGAAATGGAAGACCTGATGAGCTCCAAGGATGATGTMGGAAAGAACGTGAGTGACCTTTAACCCAGGGGTTCTTAACTTTTCTGACCTCAGGGCGCAATTTGTTGAACATAAAGAAGCACGAGGCTCAGTCAGGCATTACCAATGTACGGATCAAAATGATAATTATTATAAATCTTAGTTTAATTTGTATTTGCATTATAACTAAATTAAAT